CAACTAACTCACACTGCTAACAGTGACTGTACAATTACTTTCTGTATGTATGCCACACAAGCGCTTATGTATGTCTCAGATGTGTGTTTCTTTTATTTTGAGACTAAGGGTGTAAAGGCGTGGGATGATGATTTCAGATTCCTAGGAGAAAATTCCCATGCCTGGAAGAGCCTTTGGAAAAAATCAAGTAGAAGAGTGATGTCATTCTGATGAAAGGCAGCCTGTCAGACAGTTGGCGACTATGGGTGCTTTTTGGCATGGGCCACAGCCCGCTTATACACCAAAATATGACATCAAAGCAGGTACCAGGCCAGGCCAAGAGGCTGGCACTGATCATTGTCTTCTTCGATTACAGTAGTCTCATCTTCTTGCTGAGAGGATAAAAGAAAGCGGCTGCTTGGTGTTAAGAGAGTGTCAAAAATAATAAGGCCTGTGCCATGCTCTAATAGTGTCCCAGTGGCTCGGTGGAGGGAAGACATACCGTGTACTCACAACATTATGGGCAGAGTTCCCAGACAGGGATTATTACTAAGACTATGCCACTTTTTAGTTAATAATTCCAACAAATGTTGCCTTTAGTGTAGATCAGTTCTTATTCCCTGTTTGAAAAACTGGCACCAGGAGTTTTGACTGAACATCGATTTAGATTTCATGTCAACAACTTTTTCTTTTTTATATCTGTATTTTCCACAAAACAGAAATGTTCAAAAACATAATGGAAATCCTCGATTCCTTTTACACAGATTCTGGAAACAGCCTCAAATACAGCTCTCACATAATTGAATAAGGACCATGTTTTACAGCAGGGTGTGGACTTCAAAAGCATTTCCCCATAGAGACAACTAGGTTAAAGGAGAGAAAATGAATCGTGTGTTGTGGCTCTACTGTCATGACCTGTAATAAGGGCTTTTCCATGTCCTTTGGCAAATCTCTGGCATAAATAAACATTTCCGAGACAAAAGGGCTTGATTCTCATCCTGTCTCGCTGGAGATGAGAATAGGCGCAGGGGAAGGAGGGCTGCCGCCTCTCTGATGATAATAATAGCAGGTTTCCAATGGTAATTGGTCTCTGCTCCCTGCTCTGTCGCTACCTGGCAGAGGGCATTGCAAAGGGTGATTCAGTCTCGAGGCATGGATGGAAAACGCCTCCAGAGGAAGGCCGAACACTCGCGCACCGTTACCTCTGAGGAGGTTCGTTTGACTTCACTAAATCTCCTGTACAACAACACATTCCTACACAAATGCAGGAAAACATGCACGCACCCCCACCTTGACACACACAACAACGCCCATCTCGCTTAGTATGAACGACCTGACAGAACTGTTTACAGGCAACAACAGCTATTTTGTGACCATCATTCGGGTGAAAGATCAACAACAAACAGCTGACCTGTCAGCTGAACTATTTGATTACCCCTTGGTGAACGAGAGACCCCTAATGCAAGTTGTCCTATCTTGAAAGAGTACATTTTTATCAAACAGGGCATCATCTGTAACCAATACACAGCCTCCTCTTACGAAATGAGAGCCTGCTCGACAGATGTCTCCAGTCTCTCTTATTCTCTCTTACTCCCCATTTACATCCACATCTTAGATGGCACCTCTTGACTTAAGTCAGGATCAAGGTTGTTTACAGATTCTCTGGGTAATATCAGGAACATGTGGTGGGGGCACATGAAAGGAACTCTACAGTGTGTTGACACCCAAAGCCTCTGTACATGTTTGTTTTTGCGTTTTAAACAATAGTTTCAACATGAAATGAAGGGGACCTGCTTCTGAAGGTTTGCCTCAAAGTGACAGAGAACAGAAGCTAAAATGCTTTGACATGGGAGGAAAGCGGAAAACGTCACAGCTCTCTAACATTTATGTCAGATTAACCTGTTAATGAGGCTGTCTTTCAAATAATGCAAACAAATAGTTTTTGCATGACAAATATCTACAATATTGAATCTAATCCTGAGACAGGCAATAAAAAAAATGTCAAAACCTGGTACACCCTACAGGAGAAATTACTACAATATACTCAAAACTTCTGAAGGTTTCAACAACTTTTTAACTAACTCAGAACACCTGAGTCCTATCCCATGCATTTCCAGTTCCTTTTTCGTCCTGGCTTTTAGCAGATTTCCACACTTAAACACTTTGTGGCATGATACCACTAAGTCCCAGGCTTTGCTGTGTGACCTTCATGGGCTTTATTGCTGCGGTTGAGTCCCACAATCCCTAACCTGATATCTTATGTTTTATGCTGGTGCTGACTAGTGCTAATGCTCTGTGTAGGAGAGGGGTGGCAATGTAAGGGAATTTAAAGAAAGTCTTCTATGAAATATAAAAGTTTTATAGATGGTGATCTCTCCTTTGTTCTTCCAATGAGGACCTCCACCTGTTTCTGATGATATGAGCCAGAGCCTGTCCCTTTCAAGAGGCTGATCCCTCCTGATCTCTTTGATGTAACCTGACCTAACAGTTCCAACTAGTGGGATTTGATGATCACGGATGGACCCTCGACAACAGCATGAGCAAATCAAAACTAACAGGCATTGGGAGACGGACGATGGGGATGTGTGAGCAGAACTGGCAGGCTGTGGAGACAGAAAGAGCGCTCCCAGAGCTATGATGTGTCTAAACGCTAGGCAGGCAACGGTCACATGATCAATGCTGCCAGCCCAGACTTAAGCAGTAAAACCTGTGGATCTGTGAGGGCACATGCAACTGATCGGAGATGAAAGACAAGCTTTGACTTTCACAGGAGGCCTGGAGTCAGGGTGGGGGCTACAGGGGCACTTCTGAGGGACTGCCATCAGAACAGCTGGGTCATTTTCTAATGACCTAATTCTGGGATTAATCCGTTCGTACTTGCATGGTTAAATTTGTGTCTGCGCTACACACAAACGGTGGGAGGCAAAGAAAAAAGGGAGAGAGAGAGAATTACCAGTGAAAGCCAGAAGGGCTTAGCACTTGGAGTTCAAACAAGGTGCACAGTAGAGGACAAACCACTGTGCACCAACAGTAGCAAGGCTAACCAGCGTTTCTGTCTCCAGCCTCATACTGTATGGAAATGGAACACATAATCTACACGTCTAGTTCAGTCGAAGTGCGGGCATCTCCCGCTCACACTTTTCACTAACTGGGTTGGTGGACGTTTCCACACACCGCCGGGGCATCTCTTCATGGTAGCGTGTGTGTCAGAGGCCAACGTCCATCTGCGAGTGATTTAAGGGTTACATTTTTGGGGATGACGTGTGATAAAACAGGGAGGTATGGGTCAAAGTGACTAGACTCAATCTGTGACAGAGCCTCTCCTCCTGGGCCCTACCACATGTTTTAATCTATACAAGCATCTGTTTGAAGTTCCCAATGAATACCATCGGTCCTGCTGCTGACTTCATATCCATCTTACCTGGTTCAGAACAGTTTGCACCCTTTAGGACCATCGATTTACCACCAAAAGGATATTTTTCTAAGAAGTTGTGAAACTGTTTTTATGTTGTTGAGCTGACAATTATGTGAGCATGTTTAAAAATGTCCAAATGTGTTCTTTTTGGTAGATTTACTATCAATGTTTTTGACAGACAGCACACAATAGTTATCTGAATAAACAGTACCCCCATATCAGGCCCCAGGGCTCTTTCCAATCTCACTGCCAAAACAGAGACCGCATCAATAAGACATTATCAATAAGCTTTGAGTCTGCGTATGACAGCAACTTTACCACGGCTCAGAGATACATACAACACAAGATAAGTATTATCCTCTTAAACTGCTCTAGAGTTAGCACATTGTTGGTTTTATACATGTGTAGGTAGTGACAGTAATACCCAGTCTGTTACAACTACACTAATTCAAAAAGTCAGTGCGTCTCACATGAGAAGAATGAGCTCAATCAAAGACAAAAGTCACCACAAAGTGTCACAGTGATGAGTAATCACTGTTATTCTTATGCAATCACTGCGGGCTACTCTTTTAACTTAAATGTGTCCTTAAAATGAGAGGTTGTTCAAGGGAAGCCTACCTCAACCGTAACAAGGCATTCCTGTGTTAAAAAGTTGGCTCCCCATCAGGATGCTCTGCTCGACTTAAAATATACAGTAGACTCGGAAAGTTTGGAAGAGACTGAAGTGGGAGGGAGGAGGCGAGGAGAGGGGGGAGAAAGAGTGATGGTTGCTTTGATCTCTGGAGGCCCCGTCTGGATACAAAAAAAGAAAAAACAAGTGTCCAAGTCCCTTTTTCTAAACCTTAAGAAAACAAGAGCAACTCAAATCAGAACTCCTTTTAAGGAGGAGTTTGTGGGTTTTGTGTAAGGTGTAGGAATCTCTGATGGATTTAAATGCCTTATAAAATAAATGAAATATACAATAATGATGTTACTTTATTTAAACATGAAAAGTCTGTTGAGATTATTATTTATTTTCACGGTCAAATATTGTTGGATCTCAGCACGACTTTTGTTTTTCCCCACTTGATTTTCAGGAAAGTGTGTAACTATTCTCACTTCATAAATGTGTGGTGGAATGGGAAATGGGCATTTCAAGGCCAATAAAAGCCACCACATCAAATAAAACATCGCGGATCAAAAGAACCGACGCATGGACATTTTTTTCCCCTCTATAAATTAAAAAAAGGGGGGTAGTCTGCCACGCTTGATCATGCCCTGAGTCCTTCCCCGCGCCTGCGATTGGCTGGACGGACACACAAGGGGGGAAAGTTTGAATAAAATACAAGAGCATGGCACGAATGTTGTCGTACAAGCTTGTGCGCTTGGTCCAGCAGCGCTTGAGTTGTACTAGATAGATGGGCACATATTTGTAGGCTCTTTTAAAGTTTGAAATATATCCAGATAATTCAGTTGATTACTGTGTTGCTCTAAAACGACTTCAGTTAACATTTAACCGTTGCTTGGAGTTGATGACAAGAGTTGAGGCGTATTTTAAACCGTGCGTCATTTATTTCTCAGCTCCATCAGTAAAAGTTTGAGTTCCCCTGACGAGACATTGCATTTGGACATTTAACACCGGGATAAGATGACAGCCATCAGAATGATTTCATCAATGCTGTTGCTGGTGCTGATGCAGTCCGGAGTTCTTTGCGCACGGAGGTTCCGGGGTGGCCGCAACCCACAACCACGCCGCTCGCCACCTCCTCCCACATACCGGGCGGACCGGGGGGACACCACGGAGAGCTTCCCTCTGGATTTCACCGCCGTGGAGGAGAACATGGATAACTTCATGACACAGGTGAAGAACCTTGCGCAGTCCCTCTACCCGTGTTCGGCGCAGAAGCTCGACTATGACATGAAGCTCAACTTTTTGGAGAATACATCAGTCACCTGCAACGATGGGAGTCCTGCGGGGTATGTACCAACTGAGAATACACAGTGTGATCGATCATGATTCCCATACGATTGGATCACCGGCAGGTCAGAGCAGGGTCAGGTGTGCGCCCTGAGGCTAGAATGAATTGTTATTTACTTCAGCGGGGAGTCTCGCTGGTCATCCTGCTACCCGAAGTAACCCACATGTATCTGGCCTGAGGCGGCGAGTGTGCGCACTGAAGCTCTCCTTTTCCACCCTGGTTTATGGCTTATGTTAAAAAATGGTAATCTTGAAAAAGAAATAGAAAATCTGTACAATGACAAAAATAAACAAAATAAATGGGGGGGGGTTAAAAAAGAGAGCAATGTCCTAGGACAGAATAACGGCATGAGATAAACAGCTGCTTTGTGTCAGTGAAGCGTGAAATTTGCGGATAGCCACATGGCCTATGCTTCATTTCCTTTGCTTCAAATTAGAATGCAGGATTTGCTCTGCAGAAAGTTTAAATTCAACCTCTGATGTCTTGTCTACTTGGCTACTTTAGAATTTGATGTCAATGGCTCCTTGTAGTGTTTTTATTTAATGGGGTAATCAGACACTAAAAGTATATCAAACAGATGCACTGCCTCTCATATTGCATAATGCTTAGTACTCTCTGTTATGTTCAATTTGAAATAAGTCAAATCAGGAGCTGAAATTCCAAAAATATATTTTTATAAATGTAATATTGATATGCACATTTAGTCATGGAAGGAGGGGGTGAATCAAATAAAACGCAGGTGTAAAAGATATAATTAATCTTATTATACTTCTTAAATGCCTCAAACTGCCAATGTATTCTTCTGCATCACAATAAAAGAGTTTGAAAACCTCATAAAAACTGTGATGTGCCCCTAATTTAGTATTGATATAGGAAAATATAAAGCACTGCTGAATTCTTATCATAGGCATTATTATTTGCAAGTATTATATAAAAGCTTTACTGTTAATGTTGTATCTGGAGGCTTTGATGCCTGTGCATCAGAAATGATCTGGGACCTGTTCAGTGATGGGCAGACCTGATTAAAAGGGCTTTTCTCTATACATTTCTCTTTATGGATTTAGTATCCTGTCTAATTCCTGTAAAACCTCAAATTACCTGGTGGAAAGAGAGGTCTGTTAGCGGGGTAAAGCTCTTAACCCTCTAGATATGCAGCTAGGGATGGTGACTGGCAGATGGCGTTTCAGTCACTTGTCAGTCAGTTTAGATGCTTATCCATCAGCTGCCAACAGTATTTTCCGAGAGGTATTTTATCACATGACAGATTAACAACAATGCAATGAGAAAATAATTCACTGTTTGACTCTGATGTTCCGGAGTTGTACTTGTTACCGTGAGTGGGTTGATCTAGCATGCCTTCACGTTGTTATTGGAAGTAGTGAATAGAGTATACCATCCTCAGCCTACATTAATGACTGTACAATATATTATATGCAACCAAAGTGTGATTCAGAGTCTGGGCATACAGCTCAGAACTCCAGCCAAGGCTGTTTTTTTTTTTAAGTAACTCACATGTTTTTGGCAATCCGTGGAGTTTAGTCATTGGTGAAGTGCGGTGAACACTGATACGTTAGAATAACAGAAGCACATTCGTAACATCTGGATTATGTGGCTAAAGCTACTCTACACATTAGAAAGTCCTATGATCTGGTATTATTATTTGAAACAAAATCCTGTTGCAAAAAGGATGATGTGTCAGCCTTGAGAACATCCATCAGTATGGGAGAATCATGTTAGCATTGCCTTCTCCTGGGCTGTTAACATACAGCACACATCTTATATTGTGACATGTATTAACTTATTTGTATAGACAGCCTGGCAAAAATAATATCACTTACCCAGGTTGGATCTGAGGGGCATTTTGGGATAAAGGTTTTGACAACTACATACGTCAAAAATGTCCTCATATCTCTTATCTCTTATCTCTATGGGCTGGAACCTTGATTTATCAATGTCATGTGTTGATATGGGATGAGCTCAGAGTGATGAGACTATGATTACTTACCAGTGTTGCATTAAACATGAGGAACATCATCTACTGGCATCTACAGCACAAACAAAGGATAGGGGACGGTGTATCGCCCGTATGATCACCATATCAGTTTCCTGAGAAAAAACTATAAACACACAAAAACGCATTGTTCTCTGTTGTCCCTGGGCAGAATTTCATTTTTGCTCCCATCCGTCACCTTTGAGAGATAGGAATCAACAAGATATCGTTGCTAAGATTAACATTATCACGTGGTATGTGTTTATATTTCATGCTTGGATACCGTCACAGATGGTAGAAACAGTGCGGGTATTGCTTTCGGTGTTTACCTCATCTCTCTGAAGCACACAACTGTGGAATGTGGTTGTATCTTTCTGTTGTTTGAATAGATTATTATGTTGGCGGTAAATAAACCTTGAGGAACATAGAATCATATTTTTGTCGGCTATAATTTATTATTCTTTGTTTTCTAATAGTTACTACCTGAAAGAGTCTCGAGGCAGCAGACGGTGGTTGATATTCCTAGAGGGTGAGTATTCATTTATCTAATTTCATTATGTTTCTCCTTTCATGCCCACATTTAGAATAATGAGTAATTGTAGACTAAGAATGACACATATATTTTTGGTGTGTGTTTATATCCAGGTGGCTGGTACTGCTTCAACAAGGAGAACTGTGACAGCCGATACGAGACCATGAGGAGATTGATGAGCTCATCCACGTGGCCCCAAACTAAAACAGGTCAGCATCAGCTATTCTGTATTCCAACCACTACTCTGCTATAAGCACCACTGTTACTCCACCAACGGCTATAGCAAGTCCTGACCCCCAACATGGTAGAAAAAGAAGCCAGATCCCACCGTAATGTCCCAGTAATTTAAAGGATCGGATGTATCTGTCACCCCGTCATAATGTAGTTGCGGTGTAGGGCTACCTGGCGCCCGCTGCTGTAGGAACAGAGACGCCTCACCCTCTCTCATTTCAGTGTAATAACTGTAATCCATGTGGTAATGATGATGAGGAAGAAGAGGATGTGTCTGGGAGTGCCAGGATGGCTAATGATACATGTTGATCTGTCTCTGCTGCAGGCACAGGGATCCTGTCTCCGCTGCCCGAGGAAAACCCTCACTGGTGGAACGCCAACATGGTGTAAGTTGATTCATGTTTGTGTGTTTATCAAAGCTTGATTTATAATCATGGCCCGGCAGCTTTTTAACTTTGTTTTGGTTGCGCAGGTTCATCCCGTACTGCTCCAGTGATGTGTGGAGTGGCGCTACAGCCAAAACAGAGCAGAGTAAGACACGAGTGAATCATCAAAACAAACGTGACATGTAACCCTCTTTGAGAAAAGGGACATTCTAATGTCTTTGTGTTGTGTGTAGGTGGCTATGCCTTCATGGGCTCACTGATCATACAGGAGGTTGTGAAGGACCTGCTGAACAAAGGCCTGGACAACGCCAAAGTTCTCCTATTAGCAGGAAGCAGGTGTGTGGATATTGTGATTTTCAAATAGAAAATGTTATTCATTTGATTCAAATGTACTGATAAGTATGTCGTATTCATGAGTGCAGTGCTGGTGGTACTGGGGTCCTTCTGAACGTGGACCATGTGGCGGAGCTGCTGGAGGGACTGGGGCATACTGGGATACAAGTGCGAGGCCTGTCTGATTCTGGTTGGTTCCTGGACAACAAGCAGTACAGCTGCACGGACTGCACGGAGTGCTTGGACGCCATCACCTGCGCCCCCACTGAGACCATCAAGAGAGGCATCAAGTAAGGGAGCCGGTGATATTATCATTGAAGAATGTGTAGGATGGACTTATTTCAGTAAGGTTGCTAACATAGACATCATGTCCTATCTGTCTTTCTCACCTGCTCATCAGGTACTGGGGAGGAGTGGTTCCAGAGAGGTGCAGGCAAACCCATGAAGGAGAGGAGTGGAACTGTTTCTTTGGATATAGAGTCTTCCCATCGATAAAAAGTAAGCTTGGGGTCTCATTCTGTATTATGTAAAATGTACCTTCTGTACATGCAAGCCCAACATACTTGTGTGGCATAATAATAAGCAGATTGTTTGCATAATAGACTGCTTATTATGCATTATAGGAGGAAAAAAATGCACTAGCAATATTACGTGTGTTGAATAAACCGAAAATAGATTAAGAGTTCTGCCTATAGCCTACTGTTAAAGTTCGTCAAATGTATTGTTGATTAAATAAATATTTCTAACTTTCTTTTATTATACACTGAACTAAACACTAAAGGCACCAATCAAAAGTTTTCTTCTACTTCAACTAAATATCTTAAAGGACTTTAACAGTCTTTTCTCGATGTGTTTATTGTGCAAGTTGACATTGAAGTAGGCTAACTATTCAAATAATAATATAGTATGCAGCCGCACTGTAAATGCACACTATGAACCTATATTAATCTTCTTCTTCCATTCTCCCTGTGCAGGCCCAGTTTTTGTTGTCCAGTGGCTGTTTGACGAGGCCCAGTTGGCAGTAGACAACATCCAGCTAACAGGCCAGCCTGTGCAGGAGGGCCAGTGGCGCTACATTCAAAATCTGGGCATTGAGCTGAGGAACACACTCAAAGATGTCCCGTAAGAACATTTTTCTGCTTTTTAGGAAGACCATTCAAGTATTGGTTAATGTTTCAATTGGTTAATGTTTTGTTTTCTTCATTCTTTTTTCTAGAGCTATGTTTGCTCCAGCCTGCCTTTCACATGAAGTTATCACCAGAAAGTAAGTATACATTTTCAAACCTGCTGTTTCTAGTGTTTCAATATCACGGAGCACTAAGCTTTGTGTTTGACATCCTCTACTTGTGAGCTGACAGCGCCCTCTTGTGTTGTGTTCTAGTTACTGGATTGACATTCAGGTTAAAGGCACCTCTTTGCCACGAGCTCTGCACTGCTGGGACCGCAGCCTGAACGACAACAGGAACAACAAAGCTCCACCCAAGGGCTGCCCCGTTCATCTGATCGACAGCTGCCCGTGGCCGCACTGCAACCCCACCTGCCCCACCATCCGAGACCAGTTCACAGGACAAGAGATGAACGTCATTCAGTTCCTCATGCACATGGGCTTCGATGTGCAGAAGATGGCTCAGCAGCAGGGCATGGACCCCAGCAAGCTACTGGGCATGCTAAGCAGCGGCAGCTAAACGAACGAACGAACACACACACACACAAACACACACACACACACACACACACACACACACACACACACACACACACACACACACACACACACACACAGCATCTCCAAGCTAAGCCCAACCACGGCTGGCTGGTCTCCCTGGCCGGCCCCCCATGTCTGATACCTCCAACTCCCCCTTCACAACCCATTCTACCTGTAGTCCACTCACAGGAGCTTAGATTTGTCCCACAATCCCTTTCCTCACAACTGGTGACAAGTAACAGGGGCAACACAACACCAAGAAAAAGCACAACTCTCTGCTACTCTCCTTTTAAATTATCTTTTGCTTTGAAAAAAGAAAAATATCACGAATGTAATCCAGTTTTAAGGATGCTCATTGATGTTTTGTTTTTTTATATTATATTCATTCTACTTTTATAGATTATATTTTGTCATTATTTAACGAGAAAAGAGGAGACACCATAAGGATGTAAGGATGCTGTCTTTGTTAACTAGTCACTATAGAGTATATAACGTTTTTATTTTTGTTTAATAGTTTCTCATTACACAAAAACTACATCAAGGCAGGGGCATATGATAAGGTGAGGAAGGCACTGGATCGGAAAAAACATTTTGTATTTGTCTAAAAAATAATGGCAAGAAGGATAGAAATAAACCTAGATTCCTATAATCAGCCTGCGGTAAAAGACCAGGTTAACTTAACACACCCTCAAAGTTAGGCTGTTTATTCTTTGTTAATGAAAGTACCCAGAATAATAAGTCAAACAAGAACCAAATACAGACAATGCCATATACTTTGTATATGCTTTTTGATATTATCATGGATTAAAATAAATATTACGGTACGAGTTAGCATATATTCTACAGCTGTAAAGACAATGTCTGGTTTTGGTGGTTTGAAGTTGATCGTGGTTCTAACCTGGAAACACTAACAGTCTATCATAAGATATACATAAACCACATTACATCTCATCTTTACCTATTTCATCACAAGACTGTTGAAGACTTTGAGTACTCATTCTCGTTGGGTCAGTAGTAGTCAGTAACAATCCTCAAATCAATGGAATGAACATTTAAAGGGAGACAAATATTGTGTATTGTATATTTTTTGAGTATTTGTATAGGTTCTTTCAAGTGTTCACTATTGTAACTCCCTTCTTATATATCATAATAGAGATCACTTTTTAATATAATGATAGTGTTGTATCTAATGATGTCCTTATAAAATGATGTTTTCAAAGGACCTCTATTTTGCATCACACCAGAGAAGGAAAGGTATTACTAATAGTAATTTTATTCTGTAACATATTTTTTCACAGAAAGAAACTCAAGCTACATTGGTAATTTACATATTTATTTTGTTATGTAAATCATATTTATAAGTGCTATTTACACAGAGAAGTGATTCTTTGTAAATTGTAAATACATTGCTGTTTTTTCTCTTTGTGTTGATTGCATGTCTTTGTATCAGAACTAAAAGAAAAGACACATTACATATACTACAAGCTAAATATTGCTGTGAAGTCTTGTTATTATTATTAGTATTATTGTTATTGTATTATAGATAGAAGTATTTGTAAGAGCAGAAGTTGTAGTAGAATAGGCATCAGTAGTATTTGCACATTCTCCATTCTTCCATGACTTGCAGGAGGTAAGGTCAGCCGCTACCTCAGGCTCCACACAGTGTTTTACCCCACTGATAACTATCATCATCTGATAATAGATATAAGGCTTAGTGTATACAAAGTCAGCTAAAGGTTTTTCAACAATTTCTTTTTTAGCAGCTTTGCAAAAGATCGGGAAAAAAAATGTGGCTCATTTCAAGAAGTAGTTGAGGTAAAAACGAGAAATGTTGGCTTTTATTTTATAAGATAATTACCCATAACTAACAGGAAATACCTGAGGAATTGTCATGTGAAACTTCAAAGAACTGTTCTACAATACATTCAAATGTCTTATATAATAACTTGCTGAAGCAATCTCTGCTTTGACACCTATATCCCATCAGCTGCTTTTACATAACAGTTAAAAAATCTGTACTGTTAATAAGGTGACTTTTATATGTCAACTAATATGTTACAACAATGTTGTGACCCCTATAGCTGTGTCTTCTGTTTACCGCACTCACTATTTTTATGATGAATTTATTTTGATTAAAATGTGGGTTTTAATGACCTATTCACACATGCGCTCACATGTCAATGAAAGGCACTTCCCTAACCATCACAAGTAATTTGGGCTCATAATCCTCTAATGTGCCAAACATATGACTGAAAGATAATTAGGTCCAAGGGAGAGACGACGTTTCAACACGACTGTCAGAATGGGGAAAGACATAGAAAAGCTGTTGATATCAAGCCAACAGCTGTACTGTTATCAATGGATTATCTGTTTAATGACTATTTCAAACAAAATGGATAATGGATCCATTAGGTTTCCTTTGCAATATCGATGGATTTTGTAGTTTGGACAGGCTAATTGGGCATAACAAAACATGACATATAGGTCACTGTACTAACAGGAAGTGTTGTTTTTTTTATATTCTAGCACCTTTGAAAGGTAACATCTTTTTGTATTATTTTGTATTTGAAATGGTCATCCTCCAACAAGAAATCTGAATACCACACAACTGATAGCAAATTAGTGGAAAAAGGATTAAGCTGTAATAAACCAGACTTCACATGCTGTTAAAATGAATATTTTCACCTTGCACACTGTAACTCAAAAATCCCAGCATACTAATATCACAGGTTGGCGTATTTTAAGTAACTACTAATTTATTTCCACTTCCCTCTCACATGCATCGCTCTAATCTGCCATCACTTGTACATAATCATCCTTCTGGCCCTGTATGTAATTTTTGCCTCTAATGGGAGTCTTAGCCTCACTCCCTGTCATTACACTGCGCATAAATGCCAGTTTCTTTCTGAGGGTGCTCTGACTCAGCCTCCCTGGGTGCTCCCTAGAAATACGACTCCCATACTGCCTGCCACATGTAGCCTCCCACCCTTCTGTGGAATATAGACCCCCTATTTATAGAGCTGGCGGGGCCTGTAACCCTGGTCTCGGCACAAACTTTCATTTAAACAACCCCTTGAGTGCGCACTGACACACACAGCAGGAAGAGGGTGTGTGTTTGTGTGCGCAAGAAAGAGTGGGAGACTAAATCCAAGAGGGAAAAGGATACAGAAACAGCAAGACAAAGAGCAAGAGACAGAGCCAACAGTTTGAGTTATTTGGACGGGCAGTTGGGGGCCTACTGTGAATAATGTACAAGGACTGATTTGCGGAGTAATGGAAGTTGACTGACAGGACAACAAACCAGTCCACCTGTCCAGCACTGCCGGCTATTGTTGGAAGATTGATCACTGTATATGACTTTTAGAGGACCTTCGACACTTTGAACTTTTCATACACTGGACAATTTGGGGATTGAAGAGTTCACGCAAGGAAAAACCACGATTTCTGAGGACAAACACTACAGCTTTGAGTAAGAACAGGAGCAAATTCTTCATTATAACATAACTGTATAAAAGCATTGATTCCAGTGTTATATGATTTACAGAAATAATATTCTGTATTCATAATGTATAGGTTTGTGCAGCAAAGAAAATACATTCAGATCTTAGATATTATTATGTTAAGGTCTCAATAAATAACCTTTACGTTTACTGTGCAAACTTGTACATAACAGTGTATAAATGTGTCTTGATGTTAAGCACACTACTGTAATTACAAAGCAAGCTTAGGCGAACATTACAGACATTTATAATTAAGGACCATCTATAAAAAGGCAACCAAGGAAAGGGTGAAGTCTGTGCCCAGCAAAAAAAGAGTGGGCCACAAGGACAGCACGTCAAGAATCTCACCAAGAAAAACAGCTGCTTCTGGGAGCCTCGACACACAAGATGGATTCTAATGGAGGACACTACCTCAACAAAGAAGCTGTGCTGTCACCTTTAGGTATATCCCGAATGTGCCAGCTGCTCCTCGGTTGCACCATAATGGCCCTTGTCTCCCACAGCGCAGGCTACAGCGCCAGCTATGGACAATTTTGCATGTTTGTGTGGTGCTTCTGCTTTGCTGTCACACTGGTTGTGTTCACCCTGGATATCACACGGCTCCACGCATGCATGCCTATTTCCTGGGATAACTTCACCGTGGCCTTTGCCATGCTGGCAACACTCATGTATATCACTGCCTCCGTGGTCTACCCTGTTTACTTCCTCCAAACAGAGTGCCCTGATGAAAGCTGTGAGGTTCAATTCTACCGCATTGCTGTCACTGTCTGCTCCAGTGTCTGCTGCTTCCCCTACGGTGCTGAGGTTTTCCTAACTCGAGCAAAGACGGGAGCCGTGGTGGGTTACATGGCTACTGTTTCCGGTCTACTCAAGGTGGTCCAGGGTTTTGTGGCCTGTATCATTTTCGGGGCCCTGGCCAATGACAGTGAGTACACCCTCCACATTGCCACTCAGTACTGTGTGGTGGTGTACAGCCTGTGCTTCACTATTACTGTCATAGTAGTGGGAGTGACAGTTTCCGGTAGGACCTCTGCCCTGCGGTTCCCCTTTGACCGGTTTGTGATCGTCTACACCTTCTTCGCTGTGATGCTTTACCTCAGCACTGCCCTCATCTGGCCCATCTTCAGCTTTGACAGGAAGTACGGCACCTCTACTCGTCCTGAGGATTGCCCACGCGGAGAATGTCCCTGGGACAGTAAACTCGTTGTGGCTGTGTTCACCAACGTAAACATGATCCTTTATTTTGTTGACCTTGTTTACTCCCAGAGGATTCGCTTCGTCTCCAGCTCTGCTGTCTGAACCCCCCCTCTCCTAAAGACTATAGACTCAAAGACAAATAAAGACATTTCGAAACTATCCACCTTGCTCTCCTCATTCAAGTCTCTGTGAAGGACTCAATCCCTTGGATCCATAGATCTATGCTACCGTATCTATGTGGACTTTTTTTATCAGTATTAATTCAACTGCCTGTAGGCAGCAAAATTAACAGTATTATCCTATTATAACAACAAATAAAGGCTTTTCCCAAGGTTCAGCAGTGACTTACCAGGAAAACCAGGTGCGCCGACGATCTAATCGTAGCAACTTTGTTCAAAGAGGATTCTGGGAAGTTTGTCCAGTTTAGCACCAAATACATCCCTCTGCTCCAGATTCCTTTGCTGGTTGCAAACAGGAAGAACCTACGGGTGTGTGGGATAATGTTTAGAATATTAATGTTAAATCAGCCTCAGAGTAGGCCTACAGAGGCTGAACCATAAATGTCTGTATTACTCAAATGAAGGAAGATATATCTTATAAATAGCATAGGCTAAGTTTACAGTATGCACTGAACATAGCTTTTGGTTCAGCTTTTTGACCATTTTGTTGTATCTTGTCCCACAGTTTGTCATCATACACTGCATGAAAAGCAAAAGTTGAAGGTCATCAGGCTTTCCTGTCTTCGGCTGAATGTTAAATGTATCTGATACATGATTTTTTGAAAACAAGACTTTAACAGCAGTATTACATTTTATTTGAATTGAGAAAGCACAACCAACGGTTTGATATCTCTTATTTTGTTATATTTCTGATAGATAATGTTTCATATTTAATAAAATATCTAAAAGAATGTTTTGTTGGTCATTGTATTTATTTGCCCTTTGCTGTATGAGTAAGGTTATGTTTTGATATGTGAACCTTTACTTTCACTTTCAACAACTCTTCCTAAACAGTGACATCATTATTGGCAAGGGTTCAAATCAATGAAATTGGTAGTTATGTTTATTGTTAAAGCAGTAATGATTCATAGCCTGAGTAGGCTAAATGAAATTAACATAGCCTATTTCAATATTAAATAGCACACCAGAGTAATTTATAAATATGTTAAACTGCATGGTGTCTGTAGATTAGGCTACAGTGTTAGAAAACATGCTTCTCAGACATTTTTTCCCTCGTCCGTTCACATTGGAAGGAATTCCGTTCTCTGCATCGGTGGGTTTGGGTTTTGTTGACATAAATAGACAAGACAAAATGTAAAAAGTTCAGGCACTGAAGAGTAACGCAAAAATGTTATTTACTCCGGGGTGTTAACTAGGCGACTTCGGTCAGACTACTTGTCTGTCTCCTTGAAAGTGTTAGCTCTTTACCGGGACATGCCTTTCAAAATGTCCCACAGTAGATGATAGTTTATTTTATAACCTATCGGCATACTCAACAACCTTTCTCACCCTGGCGAAACCTGAGGAAGCTAGGCTTTCGGGTTTTTAAGAACCCGCCCCAAAGTGACTACCAACAACTCTGTGATTGGTCAGGGGCGCTACGTCTTGCCTAAACGTGCATGCTCATTGGCTTATTCACTTGTCAGTCAAATATACCACAACAGGTTACAGTAGAGCGCGACACAGATGAGCCACGTTGACAGAGTACATATTTCAGGTGTTTCTGTTAAAAGATTGCTGTCGGTCAACTTCGCGGCGACTTCAGGATATATTTGTAAGTTTACCTACTGTATAACAATATGGCTGCTGCCCACGTGTATTCATAAATGTCGTTCGCTTCGCTTAATACGGAAGTAGGGGTTTGTTTACTACTACAGCACAACGTACGTGGCTGCCAGAAGGATATAGGCTGCAAACCATTTGTTAGACTTCGTCGTTATCACCTGTCTACGTTGAGAGATAATTAATTCATCCATAAAGTTTTGCTCTGAACACACACAGGTATAATGAGTGTGGGTTTCATTGGAGCAGGCCAGCTGACCCACGCTCTGGTCAGAGGCTTCTCAGCTGCAGGTGAGTTTTAAATATACTTTACCATGTTTGTATTTTAAAGATTGCACTTGTGTTGTTAGTGTATGTTGATTGCAATCAGACACTGAAATGATTTTTGGAGATTTTGTCCACTTTAAGGCGTGATTGCCACCCACAGAATCACAGCCAGTTCCCCAGACACAGATCTCCCCACAGTACAGGGACTAAGGGTAGGTAGAGAATTAGTAATCAATACTTTGGTAAATCAACAATTCTGTTAATTTATCTATATAATTGTGTGTTTTTGAGATGGAAAACATTCCTTTACTTGCATGTTATACTGTCCAACAAAGTAGAAACGTGTATCTTTTGTTTTTACAGAAATTGGGTGTCAATTTCACAACAAGCAACAAAGAGACAGTGAGCAAGAGCGATGTTCTCTTCCTGGCCGTGAAGCCCCACATCATCCCTTTTGTACTGGATGAGATAGGACCAGACATTGAAGATCGTCATCTTATTGTGTCCTGTGCGGCAGGTGTCACCATCAGCTCTATAGAGAAGGCAAGTCAAAGCCATCTGCATCCACGTGTTACAAACTGTAAATAGTCAAACTTGACATAATTTACAATATATATATATTATGTATATTCACTCAATATTTCATTATACATATGAAACATATCTTGGATAAGGACCATTATTGCATGTACAAATATTACTTATATGAAGATAAAGGTGATGTGGTTTGTATACAGCATGCACCTGAAAAAGTCAAATAACTATGTACTTAACAGCTCAGATCAGGGATGGGCAACTTGGATGGTTGTGGGGGCCACATCATTTATGTACTGGCCACCAGGGGGCCGCAGATTCACTTGGAACACACACACACATTCCATGTATTGTATGTAATTATTAACAAATATACGAAGTCTAACATCTTCATTGACATTTTACAATCTTTCAGGGAACATTTGTTAATAATTACATACAATACATGGAATGTGTGTGTGTGTTCCAAGTNGGGCTGCCGGGAGAGCCTGCTCCACTTGACAGCGGTGTAACAAGATTATCAGGGCCATAAGAGCAAACAAAAAAAAACCCCAGCAACCTGCCTGAGAATCCAGATTACGACAGCGCCTGCACTGTGAATACTAAACACGGCTGGGGAGGACTAACGGGGGGCGCGGGCTTCACTGAGACATGACAGTGGATTGCATATCACGTAACTAATCACATGCAGATGTATCCACACACACACACACACACACGGACAGATTACCAAAGCACCACACAAGCACATATACATTTAAGTTGTCATGATTGATTCTTGAAAAGAAGCGTCTGAGGACTTGGCACTGGCAGCTTGCTAATGAAGTGAATACAAGTCGACAGTGGAGGTGCATGCTGATGAAAGCTTGTTTTCAGGACAACAGAGGCGCTATCCGACAATGGAAAACTCAGTTCTGTGGATATCATCGCACCAGATAATGCATTTCACTCCCAAAGTATCTCCTCTGACATGACCAGTCCAGACTTGTAAAGATCTGTACAGTCACACGCTTCGGCCCAGATGTGAATTAGGCTTTAGATGATTTGTATTATTAAATTGTCTTTGCTAACATCTAAGGGGATTAACAAAACACACACGAAAAGAGCTGGATGTGGAATCAGAATGATCACCTATTCAGTTTCTCTGATCAATAATGGATGTAGCCTTCCCGCTCCATTATCATGGACCTTCCACAGGAATGATGATAACCACGAAAATACTGACAAGCACACGAGGGGGTGAGTGCATGACAAATAAAATACATGTTCCCAAGGACGTTCCCATCATGCTTTGGCTCATTTATTTAGACTTTTAGATTATTTGTTCTTTCAGGAGTGATCTGCTTAACACATTTTCACCCTGTGCTCCACAACATTCTCAACACTTCATGCCTGATCGGAGCTTCTCCTTTTACTCCTTCCTTTGTCATTCAGAGTGGAAAAGATGGTCTCGATATTCAGATCTAATCATTCCTTCCTTCAGCTGAGTGAAGTCAATTATCAAGCAAGCTGCATGTGTTGGGCGCCATTTAACCGCAAATTAAAACTCAGACTCCTCTGATAGCTCTGGAAGAGTTACGGGAAGACTGGTGTAAAGTTGTGTGTGGGGAAAAACACAGTGTGTGTGTGTCTGTGTGAGAGAAAGGTACGATGGGAAGAGGGGAGGGAAGCTATTAACTGCTAAGTATTCAGAGCGTGAAATAAGAGTGACAAAAAGAGGGAGAGGGGAAATCATTCAGCAGCTTTCAGAGGGAAATGTGATACGCTTGTAGTAGAGGGGAAATACTAAGCCAATCGTTTTGACCAGTGGAGGATCGGCGCATCACTAAAATAGCAGTTAGCTCATATCTAATGCTCCTTTTTGAAGGACTGGTCCTTTAGAACAAATACAGTGTGGCTATAATTGGAAGGGTAAAGTGGTTGGTAGCAACAGTCTGAATATTTTCCGGATATTGTTCTCGCCTGCAAAAATAACGTCATACTAGGTGCCAAGAGAGATGCTGAATGTTATATTTGTATCAAAACACACTACAATTGCAAGAGAAGAGTGTGTTCTGAAAAGGAAGGGATTAATAACCCCATGGATGAAGATTTGAAAAATGCAGACTGAACTTGTACCTGCTGAATAATACAACGAGAGACAAATGAAATGGCTGCTTATGATTGAACGTATTATAAACCTAGACCTGTTTCTAATTTTAACGAAGATCAGGGTAAAGGTTTTGTTAACGTTTTAAATATTTGTTTAGTGATCACTCAATTATAAAGAAGTAAACAACCCTACTGTAATAGCTTTCTTACAACAAAAACGCCAAAATGCTAAATTGTTCAACCATCCAAAAATGTTTCCTTTTTTGTTGCAAATTGTTTTAGGCTGATAATTATCTTGTCAAACATGTTGCAAATCTGATGTCAGATGTCCGCTTAACTTCAAAGACATTTGTCATTATTGCTCTCTTTGATATCAACCACAAAGTGTAAAGTATCTGTAGTTGTCCCATGGAGACAAACATCAGACGAGGAAAGCAGAGAAAGTGAGATATCTGTGCACAATATTCCAAATGCATACACCATAACAGGATGTCCTATGAAAAACGCTGGCTCTGAAAAACTCCCATATGGAGGCTAGTATGTTCTGCACAAGAGCAGTTGGCGCATGCATATCTGGAATTTGCATTCAGTTCATGTGGTTTAAAGTGAAAAGATGAATCACAGCACCTCAAGGGACTTTGTATGTTCTGAAGTCACCGATAATGTGAGGCTTATTTAAAATGACTCGGGTTAGACTGGTCTGCATTAACCAATGTTTTCGATACATGCATAATCTATTTCCAAGCCCAGTTGCTGTTTACTCTCCGAGCCGCTCTGTTAGTACAAGCTGTATGACAGGAGAAGAGACTTCATTGGCCTCCCACTATCTGCCTGGAGGACTTGATTAAACAGGAAGAGAATTGATACTTCGGCCTTTCACTGGCAGAGGAAGTAAGGGTTGCAGGCAGCCCACACATTGGCAAAATATCCAGGAGCTTTACTACACTAGCTGCATACATATTAAATGCATTTTGCAATGAGCTAACAGCAAACAGGCAGTCTTTGCAGCACTCAGAGACTAGAGCAGTTCAACACATTTTAATGCTACTTAAAGTCAAATCTAAATGATTCCCGCTGATGACTGGTACCACTGAACGGCTAGGATTTTAGCTGGATTCTCTTACATTCAAAACAATTCTGTGATATGGCCATCAAGCCAACAGAGCTAAGCAGCATCACAGTGTAAAAAACAAACAAAAAGAATAACAAATGAATCATCTTTCATTCCTGTGGAGTGCTTTGATTCCAATGCAGTCACTTAGCTAAAGTTATTACCTGGAAATACTAAAGATGCTAATTTCTATTAATAACATCCTCACCGCTCAGTTCAAATTACGGCTTGTGATGGATGAGGTCTGACGACAGGATATTTCATGGAGCCTCACACTCCATGCGTTTTGTCCAAAAAATTAAATTAAAGAATTTACAATGACATCGCTCTAGAATGCAGTCTGACTTACTAATCATGCATCAGTACTAATAATTATAGATTGTCGATGTAATGCTACTTTTAGCTCCTCACATATTTTAGCCTGAAATCAAACTAAGAGTACTGGAAGAAATGACAAATATCAAAATACATAGAAGGAGGAAGGTTCTTTTGTTGTTATGTGTTGAGTTAAGCACCCAGTTTGCTCGCAACAGTTGATTCTGAAATATCTTTTCCTGAGGAAGAAACTGAACCCCAACCTGCTCCATCTGTGAGGCTTCAGACAAATCGTTAATAACTTAATCCATATATAAATGAATAACCGAATGTTGTATTCAGTAATAGACATTACACAGGGAGATTCTTATTGACTTCATTTGTGTCCCTTCCCTTTTGTGTTTTTTTTTTAAATGTTGTTTAAATGAATACCTCATGTATAACCTTTGAATAATGCGTCTGTGTCCTTTTGTAAGTATAGCATTTTTTTAATCAAATGATCTGTTACCTTTTTACCAAAACAGACAGTACTAATGTTAGTCTAATGATCTGCGTGAGCTCCTTTCCAATGTGGGTTATACACTGCTTATCTTAGAACAAGGTCTTGCTATCTTTAACCTCCTTAGAAAATCGTATCCATATCCAGCCGAGAACATATCAGAACATTCTCCCATTCTCAGAAAGGCATGAAACCGGACAACTTCTTCCCTGGCTCGTTTTCTTTTTGACATAGCCCCTTACACAAATACATGTAAAGTTAAATCACTTGTTTTTAATGTCAGTTCACCACTGATATGCCTCAAACATTAATCAGCCGAGATAAAAGTAGGTTACATGAGAAACAGCAGCCAGTTCCACGCTTATGCTTTTCTGTCCAATATTGGCTAATCTAAATAATGAACACACAGAGAGCAGTAATGAACATGCCAAGTCTAACTCAAGTTCCAAACAGAAAATCATCAAACACACTTGCTACTCTGTCTGGATGAAAATATTACTTTGAGAAGTGGAGCGGGCATATCGCAATGCTAAGCAATCATAATCCGCACTACACTTGCAAGAGGTTTCATCACCAACACTCCCTCCCTATTGCAAAAAAGGGGGGAAAGAAAAACTATATTGATCTTTTTCTCCCTTGCTTCCAGGCATTCCCATTTCCCCGTGCAGCTTAAGCAGTGCTTTTGTGGACAAATCCCACATTTGTGTTTCTTTCTGGAGGCTATTAATTGTCCTGGATAGGCGTAACTGCTCCCAAGGCACAGCTGTGTTGGCCATACAGAGGTGCTGGTGGCCAGTGTTCTGTGCAAAGTATTGCCTTGTGTTTCATCAACCTCAAATATCCCCTTCCACCCTCCACCGCCTGCCCAGTCTGAGCAACGCCACTGGGTATGAGTTGTGCACTCGGTTCACCTCTGTGGTACCCAGCATTATTTTATCATGGCTAACTCAATGCAAGTGGTGCTAAATCTCAGAGCTGATCTCCACCACTCCCTGCCTCCATCCTCACAGCACTGTCAGCCCCATTGGGCTCTTATATGGACCCTCATCTGTTCCTGTTACCTGCAGAGAGAGGCAGAGGAGGGCATTACGCTTTATTGCAAAGCCAAGCTTCCGATGTTGGACTGGCCTGTCTGCTAAGCACACTTCAATGCCCTGCTCGCATGAACAGAGATGATGAAACAAGTTGGATATCTGAGCAAGAATGGGCAACTTCAATCTGTTTAGCCCTGCCTATATATGCTCAACAGTTTCCAAGGTGACTTTTCCAATTGCACAGAGATTCACCATGGATAATTCATCACCTGCCCTCCATAAGCGTGCACTCTAATAGGCAGCACATTTCATCATGTCACACACAGGGAAACAAGAGCATCTGCCAACCAAAAATAAAAGGAATGAAGTGTTATATTGCGTTGAATAATATCACAAGCAAGCTGGCACCCCGTAATTCAACTATTCAATAACAAAAATAAAAAAGCACACGACCCACACAATGATTTCTACCAGCATTTTATTTCAAATACTGCCTACATGAGGTGTTCTTTTATAAACTTCCCATACATCCCATTATTACACATGAACCAAATTAAACAGTCACTTATTGCGGGACTCCGTTATAACAACACAGGCATAATATATTGCCTATCATGCAATTCTTTAGATGGATTTGACATCGCAGTTGACATCTAAGCTCTTAATATAAATGTACTCGCACCCTGACTTGTTGAAGTACATCATGACAGCACTGCAATAAAATGCACATTCTGAACTGAATGTAGATGAGGCTATTGATAAATGCATGATGGTCATCACTTGATGCTCATGGCTTGATGACTGACTTGCACGACAGATCAGAACCCTTTCGATCCATCTCGTTAATAACGGAGGCTTGGTGATAAACATCGACCCTTATCCACCGAGCAGACCTTTGTCCGGTGGTGCCATATTTCGGGGTGGATTCTGAGAACGTCTAAATACATCAATATGATGATTCAGCACGATAAAAGAATACCGCTGCTTGTTTGTTGCCTTTGACATTAAAGCATTAATGTGGTTAACTGCCTGGCTGTGGCAATAAAGCCAAGGACGGTGGGTTTGCCACTGCCATTGTTACAATTTAACCAGTGGTTTAATGAATTGTCACTTCAGGTGAACCAATTCAATCGGAAACGATGGATGGGAAGCATTTCCTAGAATATTTAAACATGCAAGCATTTCAAAAGCTGCACAAAAGCACACCACAATGCACATATTTGTCAATCACATTCACGTTTGACAGGAATAACATGAGGAGAAATATTGAACACCAACCTGATCCGGCTAACCCACTGCCTCGGCTGGCTCTCGCTTCTCTTCACAACGAGGTGATGAAGCAGCAGGTTTGAACAGCGAGAAGCGCATGAGTTGACAAACCAGCAAGAAGCGCTGTGATACAGTGGACACCAAACTGTTTATCACAAAGGAAACCTAGTTGCACATTTTTTGACATTCCACGACTGTCTGCAACCTCTCTACGCCTGCTTGTGAAAGTGGCAAACAACTCCCCGCCTACAAAACAAGCAGGCGAGGAAATCCCCGTGCTCAGCCTTCCTACTATAACAGTAGCAACACAGCACCACGAGCCATTCAACAACCGGCAAAATCACCGTTTTACCTCCAAACAACCGGCCGTAACTCTATATAAAAAAGAAAATATTTTTGACATGTTTTATTCGCTGCTCATATGTGTAAAACAGATTACGAGCTGCGATCTCAGCATAGTAGGAGCCCGAACCGTTCAGTTCCCATCGGCTACACACACACTTCCGGTTGTAGCTTTCAAAATAAAGCCAACACTTGTGAGAACACGTGTGTTAAAACTCTTGAATAGTACGGGCGCTCGTATTTTGAAAAACCAAGGCTGGAATGAATCGGGCAAACTTGACCAGGAGAGATAGAAGAAGCTAGGTATGCTAACCCTACAGCTAGCCGCGACCAGCTTGTCAGCGGCGAGGCGAAGGCATGCACACTCAGCATAACAACACCGACTCTGTTTGGTTTACAGACCCACCTGACTTAAAAATGACGCTTTTTTAAGTTGTTTGCGTCAGGGTCCTCTTCTTACACCGTCACGGCGGTGAGCAAACATTAGAGACAGTTAAATGTCGGGTTCACTGACAGAAGCGGCGGCGCTTCCAAATGCCAGCTCGTGCTCTCCTTGTTGATTCCTTTCTCTTGTATTGAAGCCAGACGTCATCGTGTTTGGTCACGTGCCTTCATTCATGAAGGATCTTCTTTCCGCACAAGAAGAACACATTTTAACCAAAAATATACCACCTTTTGGTACATAGGAGCTTCTAATGACTGTATGTTGACTGGTAAAAACTATTGTTGGCATTCACTGTATCTAACACTAGCCAATGTCACTCAAATAACCACACAATTATTATTTGTTTTTTATTAATAAAACCATACAACCTAACAGTTTCATTTCATCATAATATGCAATTTACATTTTTATTTAACAAAGTAATTGTGGGATTGCATAAATACACGTGTATTTGTAATTGCACTTTCAGGGAATAAGGGCTCACTGATTTACTGCATACCACTGAAAGACATTGTTATTTAGTAAAACTAACTTGGCCAACTAACACCAGCGATGCCTGACTGAATTTGTTAAAGCCATAGTAACAACAGATATTGCAACCGTTATTATAGGCTAGTCTCCACGCCTGACAAAGGAAAATTATTTAGAGAAAGAAATATAGCTTACACAGTTTTTACAGCATCATCCCAAATATTGATGTTTTATTATAAAAACATAACCCGAAGGTTATATTTTGTTCCCACAACATCTGCCAGTAGTGGTTAATTCACAGCATAAAATGCAGAGCATATCAAATGTACTGTTTCAAAGCTTGACAATAAATCACTTCTTTCTGGTCCTGGGCTTACTGCTGTGGAACATACTGATCCCATGAGATTTGACTCCGACACCCTCTGGAATCAATCCTGGCTGCTGCAACACTTGGTCCAGAGTTGTCTTCTTAATGGCAGCTGAGGAGATTTTCTCTTGGTCGGCCAAAAACTGAAGTTCCCTTTTAGAGAAGGGCAGGAAAAGACAATATATTTACAACATAGTAAGAAACATACATATTTAGCAAATCATAGTATAGTAGCCTAATAATAATCTCATCACTAGGTAACTATGAAAAGGACAAACTCTCGCCATAACATTATTTAATGCTTAATATAGCTCCATCTACTGTCTAAGTTATACACTTCAAAATGAATATATCACCCTTTGGTCATTTGAATATGACAATTAACTTAAAAGCATTTGTTCTCTATCCCCGTGACAGGAAATATGATTTGTTATTTTGTTTGTCTCCCTCTTTCCTTATCAACTTACCTAGTCCTAACACAGGATGCCTCTACAGCGTTGATAAGGAGGCTGCGGAAGCCACCACTCTCCATGACGTGCAGGGCGTGGATGGTGGCGCCCCCTGGTGAACACACATTGTCCTTGAGCTGGCCAGGGTGTTGATCTGAGTCTAACAGCATTTTAGCAGCTCCCTTGAAAGAAACACAACAAGATGCACATTAGACTAACACACCATTGATGTCATATCCAACTTATATATGCATACTGTGTCCATAGCCAACCAAGACAGACTGAGGTCAACACCTGTCAAAGCTGAATCTTGATTTATAGATTGTACCAATACAATTAAACTGACAATGTACCAGAGAGACGGAGACATTTGTATATGAATACATCACAGCAAAGCTTGGAAAACACAATTTAAACCACCCCAATAGTAAAATTCTAAAAAGGAACCAAATACCATACAAGAAAGCATACATGTAACACATACATTTGTTAAAAGATAAATAAAAGTAATACCAGCAAGGCTTGGGCTCCGAGGCGTACAGCCAGTCTCCTGGGAAGGCCCATTTTCACTCCACCATCAGCAAGAGCATCTACAGCCGTAAATGCCTGCAAGTTGCATAGTTGTTAAACTTCTCATAATTACAAATGATCAAGCAACATTGAAAAACATGCTGAACATTATATAAATGACTCACGTAAGCAGGACCACTGCCGCTGAGACCGGTGACGGCATCGATCAGGTCCTCCTCTACCTCAGTGCAGTATCCTACACTGGCCATCAGCAGCTCCAGAAGCTGTCCATCCTCTACTTTTGCATGGGTGCCTGTGGCGTACACGGTGGCCCCCTCACGCACCACCACCGGAGTGTTTGTCATGCACCGCATTACCTTGGGAAAAGCGCGATACAGCTGCAGCTTCTGTAAGGGAAAAAAATGTACTGAATAAATTGTCCTGAAACTATAGGGAAAATGGGGCTGATAGGATCATTTGCACTCCTCTTACTAAAAGTAACTAAATGTTAATAGTCAATCAAAGTAGTTGACATTTCATTTGCTTTGTTCTGCCATGCAATATCATTTTAAAGACAACATGTATTGCTATGCACAATGCAGATGATTATATGTGGTCCTAAATTAGATACAGGTCTGATATTTTGCAAAGCAACCTCAGTCTGACAATCTATATGGGAACTCATGAGATTTTTATTTTACTTTAGATCAACTTTTTTCACCATTCTTTTGTTGGCAAGTCTTTTGCAGAGGTAGTGGAAATGACAGATCTGTCAATCTTTTTCAATGAAACTGATTACGTTACAATTCCACCAGCCTCTGCTCTGACTGGAATTGGTTATGTTTACAAAAAAACAATGTGAACAGCCTTTCAACAAAATCAGAGCAATAATTCAGAATTCAGTACAAAGGCTTGCAGGCATGGGTGTTTAGGGTTCAAGCAGCTAACTACTGTCATGTTACAGCATGTGATTGTGTTGCCTGAGGGTCTGCAGCGTATGAGAGCAGAAATACAGGGAGAGCCTTGTGGTAAAAAAAACGAAATAACAAACATTTTACAACCTTTAGCCATCATCTATACCAGGGATGGGCAAATGGCGGCCGTATGTGTTCGGCAGCCAAATACCGCGAAAATAATCTGTGACGCGTTTGTGTGTATTATGTCTGTTTCCCGGGGAAACACTCACAAGAAACACCGGCTGTTGTTATGCCTGCTGTGACGTTAAATTACCGCTTGTAATCATGCCTTTACAAGCTTAAAAGTCGTTTTTATCTTCTGAATTTGGCGAAAACAAGTTTAATATTCTAAAAACCAAGACTTTGTTTATTTGAAATCAGATGAAAAAAAACTGGCACGGACCCTGCCATGTTATCTATGATTACTATATGCTTTTCATTCATAATTTCAGCGGGAGGGAGGGGGAGTGGTGCTGAGGAACAGCAGAGTGCGGGTTGACAGGTGTCTGTGTTGACATTCCCCTTATTGTGGAATAAGGGGAATGCAGAGACTGGCTACAAGTGTTTTAGGTTCAAGTTAGACAACTAATGTCTGGGTTAGTGTTTATGACTTCATGTGTATGTCATCTTAATGGTTAATCTTAATGCACACACATTTTCCATGCTTTCACAATAGTTTAAAATAGTTTTATTCCACTGTTAACCTGTTCAATACAAACATGCCACTTGTAAAAATCAAATAAAATTTCTGTGAACTGATATTTGTTTAGTGAGCTTATTAGAGGATGTTCCCATTTTTTGGGGATGTTCCCTTTGATTGTAAAATGTCAATGAAGATGTCAGACTTAGTATATTTGTTAATAATTACATACAACACAGGGAATTTTTGTGTGTGTGTGTTCCAAGTGAATCTGCGGCCCCCTGGTGGCCAGTACATCAATGATGTGGCCCCCACCCACCATCAAAGTTGCCCATCCCTGAACTAAGCTATACAGCAGCCGTAGATTGACTAAAAAGTCAGGGTTTGCAGCGAGTGATTACAATATTCATCTTCACATAAAACTCTGTACAGTAACTAAAGACTACCTTTCCATTGCTTTATTCTCAATTCTCAATCTTCAAATCT